TTGTATCCTTAATATGTTTTAGCATGTCTAATCAACCTCAAATTTCTCCTCTTTTCTACTTTCCTTTACAAATAAAGCTCTTCTTTATATTTGAGAAAGCAATTCAGCCTATTTAAGAATTTTTGGAAGAATTAGTTTAAATATGGATTCTAGATTAGTCAGTCCAGCACCAATTTTAAATACCAATAATTAAATGAAAATGTAAAATGGTTAACGATTACAAAGTTACCCAGACATAGTGTTATTTCTATAACTACATTTAAGCGATGGGACAGCTCATTCAAAAATATTTACTGCAGAGAGGATGTGTTAAAATTTCAAAATGCAGGCTTATGACACACAAATCTGAAAAATACAGTTGACAACATTTAGAAGGAAAGTACTTACTATGATCAGTTGTTTGTCATCTTTTCCTGCTTCTTTTAGTTTTTGATTATGCTGCTCTGATGACAGGAAGCTACCACACCTTGATGCTAATGAATGGTTTGGCAGAGACACCCTTTAAAACAAACATATTTAATGTCAGAAAAAAATTGACTAATCCTACTCAATTAGATGCCTAATTTTAATCATACAAATCATTGTAATTCTTACAATTTAATAAAGCCCTTCTGACTAGATATTTTCAAGAATGCATCTATAAATGTACATCTACTTTTTTTTTACAATTCCTCAATATGTTTACTGACTTCAGGAGACATGAAAAAAATTTAAATGATGCTACTGTATGTCTGGTAAAGCATTTGAGGCATGTCAATCAGAATATTATTTAAAAAGAAAACTACACTAATCTTCCTTCTGACTTTCACTTTACTTTACAAACAACTTATGCTTAGGTTTAGTATCAGCCCAATATCATGAGAAGAGGAGCAGAACAGCATCTATCTAGATCCCACCATTCCAGTCCCATCAGGAAGGGAATTCCTTCCCCCCTCCAATTAGAAAAGGGTCTGTGGACAAGCTATGTAGACTAGGGATATAAAATCCTGGTTAATGAGTTAACTGGTTAAACCTTAGGTTTAACCCATTAACCAGGATCCTCCCTCCATGGTGAGAGAACAGGAGCCAACTAGTACGCACAGAGGATTTGGGGACCTGGCTTCAGCTCTTAGCCCCTTTGTGCACAAGGATCCAGGCAGCAGGAGTCAGTATGCATATGGGGGGGAGGGGAGGGACACACGCAGTTCCTGTTCCTGCCCCTCCATCCCCCCCCCCC